ATCTCTCACTAATATCACCATACATCAATGACAGAGACACACAGCTTACTTGTCATTTCCAGTCCAACTCTGTTTATTGTGGTTTCGGTAGAGGCCATACCCATTAACCAGGTGGTCTGTTGTAAGTGTGCTCTGCAAGGTATATTTAACCAGCTCTGCAGTGAAGACTTATCCAAGGTATGACACTGAGTTTCAAAGTAGAGCTTCCTTTACTCTTTTAAACAGAAACTAAAGCTTCTTTGACACAAATAACTTCACATTTTGTTACCAAGTCGTCCTTTATTTACGCAGAGTTCTTGATACAGGTCCAGCTCCCTCAGAGAGCAGAACCTCTGACACTCCTGTTTTTATCTGTCAGCCAGGGCTCCCTGATTGGACCAGATTAACAGCCCCAATCAGGGAACTCATATTCTATGGAGGTCCACCTGGCTGACCTCGTTACAATCACTCTAGACACTGTTCCCATCAAACAACTACAGCACAGGGACAGCATGGAGTTAAAAACAGAGTGAAGCATCCTCTATCCCTTTAAAATGAAAATAAGACTTCGTCTGCACTGTCCACATCAAACATTCCCAGGATAGGGACGTCAAGGGGTGAGAGACAGAGTAAAGCTTCCTCTACAATGTTCACATTAAACATTCTTAGTGCAGGTACAGCATAGTCTGAGATACAAAGTAAAGCTCCCACCAATCTAGGACTGCAGCTGATGGCATAAAGCAGACTCTTCCACACAGGCCAAGCTATTGATTTGAATCCAGGCTCCAGGGAAGAAAGTAGCCTGCAATCATACTCTGATAATGGAAAATAGGAAGCACTAATTCATCTTGTCTCTGCAAGTTTAACTCAGCTAGTCTCGCTTTCACTACCATTGTCAGTAACTGTGCAATGTTTCCCTCATCAGATCACAGTCCAATTCTCTACTGAAGGTCATGATTTCATCTGCCTCTCCTGCACTCTTAGCAGTCTATTCCAGATCTTAACTGCTCGCTGCATATGAAGACTTGATCATATCATTGTTGCTTACTTTGACAATCATCTTAAATCTGTGCCCTCTGGTTCTCAACCCTTTTGTCAAAAAGGATAGCTTCTTTCTACCTATTCATTCAGATTCCTCTTGTTTCTGAATGTTGCTCTCAAGTGTTCTCTCAACTTTCCCTCTTCCATTGAAACCAATCCAAGCTTCTCCAAGCTAACAACATAAACAAGGGCCGTCATACTTGTAAACATTCTTGTAAATCTTTTCTGCACCCTATCCAATTCTTCCTAAAGTGCAATGCTGAGAACTGGCCACTGTCTTCCAGTGGAGGCTGAATCAGTGTTTTAACACAGAACTTCCTTACTTCTGTATTCTATGTCACTATTACAAAGTCCAGGACTCCAAATGCCATTTAGACCACTTTCTCAGCCTATCCTGTCACCTTCAATGATTTATACACACATACCTGGGTGTCTCTGCTCCTGCATCCCCCCACTTTATAAATCTATCCTTTATTTTACATTGTATATTGGCAGAAAAACATGAAGAGACAAACTTCTTTCCATTACATTTTATTGTCATTTGCCTGAACATTTCAACAGCCTGTCCATACTCACTTGATATTTATATAGTTCATAGTTCATATGTTTGGCACTAATTTTTAGTGTAGGAATTAAAGTTTAACAGTAGAAAAACATGAAAAATGCAGTTGTAGCACCTGAAGTGCATTTAGAATGATACTGTCCTGTTTCTTTAAGAGGAAAGCAGCTAGAAAGATAAAGCAAATGGAATTCTGGATTTTTGTGATTGTCACAATCACCTGAAACAAATAATAGTTCAGAACCTTACAATCGTAGTTTCTCTACGTCAGGGCTAGGAGTCTCAGGTTCAAGACTCATCTGCTCCATAGCCAGGCTGTTAGGGCTTAGGAGAAGAACCAGGTGATGGCTCCATGACATGGAAGAAGGGCTAAAAGGAACACCTGGGACCCACTGATCGTCTCTCTTGTGGTAGCATACCTCGAGTATACACAACCCATCTCTCCTTAAAAACAAACAGCCTCTTGCTCCATTTGCCTCCCCAATGTAATTCCAACTCATCTGGACCAGATCAATTTCACCCATTGACATTGGCCCTTCATTTTTTGCTTTTAAAAACTCTAGTCTGCTCTGAATCATTTTCCACAGCTAATCGAAACCTCACGATACAATGATCACAGGTCCCTAAATGTTACAAATAGTTGATCCACCTTACTTCACAGAACTGGGTCCAGCAACATTTTCTTTCTCACTGACCTAGTGACATATCAATCTAGACAGGTTTTTTTTGAATATTCTTCAGAAATTCTTACCCCTCACTGCCCTTTACATGGTTCCTATCTCAGTCTATATTAGTGCCCTATCTGAGAACACTAACCCTCACTCTTTTCTGCTTGAACTGCATTGGAACTGAGGCCCAATCCAGTGATGAAGAAGTATCTTAGTGATCCTGAGGCCTAGGCTAATGTTCTAGGGACATGGGTTCAGAACCCAACATGGCAGCTGTGGAGCTTAAGTTCAGTTAATAAATCCACAAATTCCAGCCAGCATCAACAATAGCACCGTGAAGCTACCATCAATTATTGTAAATACCCACCTGGTCCACTATTATCCTTTAGGGGAGGAAATCTGCCATTCTTCCTTGGTCTGGCTAAATGTGACACCAGACCCACAGAAATGTGGTCAACTCTTAACTACCTTCTGAACTGGCCCAGCAAACGGTTTAAAATTGTCCAGAAGGTGTTACATAGTTCAAGGGCAATCAGGGATGGGCAACAAATGCTGGCCGTGCCAACAACACTCATATCAAATAAAAAACCAAAGTAAAGAAAATTACCCACTGCCCCAAAATTCCCATTTGTTGATGGCACCACTTGGTCTGCTCACTCTGCAGACAGCAGGCACTGGGACAACCCACTCTCTCCATCCAATGCCCCCTCAACAACTGACCTCTGCACAGTCTGTGTGGCCACCAGGAAGGACATCAAATCTCCAGCCCGCAGCCGCTCCTTCGCCAGCATCATTCCACTAACACAGATGGTACCCAGAACTATACCTGCAAGGGGTAGGCGTGTTTATCATGTTACCACAAACAACAGACTTACATCTGCAACAAACATCAAAAACTCACATCCACAGAGTGCCTTTAACTTGCAATGACACAAACTGAATCACTAATAGTTTCTCTCTTTACAGATGCTGCCAGATATGCTGTACATTGCCAGCATTTTCAGTATTAATTTTGTAAGGAATAGTGGAATTGTGCCTTTGTAATCTGTTCCATGCTGCTTTTAATCTAATCCATCCAGGCGAGGACTTTTATCTCTTTCTAAATTAATTGGTTTATCAATTACTACCCCTCTTCCCAACATCTACCTTAACATCCAAGTATCTTTTTTGATCTTTTCTTCTAAATTCATGTATACTTTTGTTAGTTTCCCTGTAATTACTGAGGTAACATAATTGCTGAGGACATAGAATCCATTGTGGTATAGTAAGTAGCACTCTTAACTCCGAATCACAAGGTTCTGGGTTCAAAACCCGCTCCAGGATAGGAGCACAAAAATCAAGTTTGACCCAACTGTGCAGTGCTGCACTTTCAGAAATACTGTCTTTCGTGCAAGCCATTAAACTGAGGCCTCAGCTGCCTGCTTGGATACATGGAAAAGATTCTGTGATTCAATTTAAAAGGACAGCAGGAGACACATCATCAACATCACCGAAAGAAAATTATCTGGTTATTCTCACATTGCGGTGTTGACTGTTCATACTGGCTGCAATGTTTCCCACATTCCAACAGTGACTGTACTCTACTTCATTGGTCATAAAGCACTTTGAGACATCTGGGGACATGAAAGGTGTTACATAAATGTGAGTCTTCTGTTTTTCTTGATATAATTTTTCTGCCATTGAACTGTTGCCACAGGCTAGCCTTTTTAGGGCATATTTCTACCCTGATTTTTATTCAGTTATTTATGTTTCTACAGAATTCCTTATGATTTTCTTTGATTTCCCATAAACACCTGCCTGTCTCCTTTCTCACTGCCTGTCAAACTCTAATGGCTTGGTTTGTATGGCCCCAGCCCTGGCCAGGCATGCTTTCAGGCTGTAGGGAACATAATAGATAGCAGGGGAGTATCCCACTGTCTTCCTCGCACTGACCTGGTCCCCTGAGTACAGTAGATAAGTGGAGTGTTGATATCAGCATCCATCTGCCATTTATTAAAAAGTAATTCATGAGCAGTTCAGCTGGTTAACAAAATATATTACCCAAATGTTACACTGCCATCACCACAATATGGTTGGCTTATATAGTTCTTGTGATGCAGTGTCCCTACCCCTGGGTCAAAAGGCCTGGATTCAAAGCCCACCTGTTCTAGAAGTATACTATTAGCACGCCTGGAACAGGCTGATTAAAAATAAGCAATAATAACAAAATGCTGTAGAAACATGACAGATCCGGCAGCATCTGTAGAGAGACAAACTGAGAGGACACTTCAAGTTCAGTGACCTTTTATCAGAAGTTCTGGTGGTGCTCCAGACTACTAAAGCCACAATATATTGAGGAGGAAAAAGCATCCTTGTTCAGCGCCAGCAGCAACTCGTTATTGCAGATTGGCCTTGTTGAGTATTGGTCAGGTGTGACACTCTTTGCTTCCTGGGGGGTGATGGAGCAATACCCCCACTCCCTGAAAATTGAAGCATATTCCTCAGTCCTTCTCCACATTCACTCAATCTCTGTTTCTGCCACACAGAGGCACTCTGTCTCCCTCTTACTGCATGTTTTGCATTCTCTCTCTTCTCTTTCTTTCTCTTTCCCTGTTGAGGTGAGTAAAAATCCATTCACTTACAGTTTAATGAAAAGTTGGATAATCCCTGGAAGATACCAATTCCAAAACCCAGGATCTGACTCATGCTGCAGGCTTCATCCACCTCTCTAGAGAAAAAACTGCCAACACACAAATAATTTCAGCAGTGTGATCATCAGCTCCAACAATAATAGTTACATTTCTAGGCCAGTAATCCAGAGGCCGTGACTAATGGCTTGGATATACAACTTCAAATCCCACCATGGCAGCAGGGAAATTTGAATACATTTAGTTTAATAAATGTGACGTAAAAAGCTAGTCTAGGTAGTTGACACAGTCACTATTACTATCATTTGTTGTGAAGGCGTACCTGGTTCAGCAACGTCCTTTTGTGAAAGAAATCTATTGTCCTTACCTGGTCTAGCCTACATGTGACTCTAGATCCACAGCAATGTAATTGCTGCCTTCTGAAATGGCCCAGCAAGCCTCTTAAATTGTCCAAAATGTGGCTCATTCATTACTTGATCAAGGACATTTAGGATGGGCAATTAATGCTCACTATTCCTGTGACGGTTGGATCTTGGGAATAGACAAAACAAAACATACAATAATGTATTATGCATTCAACCATGCCTCACCTGTATTCTCACTGCTCATACTCCATTGACGCTTTCGGTATGTGGTGTGTGTGAGAGAGAGAGCGCGCGAGAGAGAAGGCACTTGAGAGAAGCAAAGATGGAATATCACAAGAGACTGGCAGCTAACGTAAAAGGGAACTCAAAGTCTTCTCCAGGCATAGAAATTGTAAAAGGGTGGTCATGGGAGGAGTGGGACCAATTAAGGACCTTGGAGGGGATTTACACATGTAGGCAGAGGACATCGCAGAAGTATTAAACAAATGTTTACATCTACCTTTACCAAAGAGGAAGGTGCTGACCAGACCACAGTGGGAGGTAATGCAGTCACTAGGAGAGTTTAAAATCCAATCGGACAAGATATTGATAAAGGTCAGAAATCACATGAAATCATGTTATAATCCAAGTAAAAGATCACCAATGATGATCTTTTACTTATAAATTTTGTGTCTGATACTACCTCTCTCACTAACACCCAAAGAAGGAGCAAAACTCCTAAAATTTATGTTTTCAAAGAAACCTGTTGGATTATAACCTGGTGTTGTGTGATTTTTGACCTTGTCCACCCCGGTCCGACACTGGCACCTCCACGGGATATTGATGGGCAAGTTGTACTTAAAGTGATCAAGATTTCAGGTTGCAATCATAGAATCATTCAGAAGCAGGCATTTGGCCCATTAAGTCTGTTATATCAAAACTATGCTAAATCCAGCACTAGGCCCACAGCTTTGAATGTTATGACGTTTCAAGTGCTCATCCATGTACTTTCTAAAGCTTGTGGGGTTACCCATCTCAACTACCCTTCCAGGCAATGCAATCCAGACTTCTACCACTCTCAGGATGAGATTGGTAAAAGAAGCAAAAGTGATAAGAGGAAAATCATTTATATGCACTGCCTCAGAATGTAGTGGAGGCAGGTTCAGGTTCAGTGCGGCACGGTGGTTAGCACTGCTACCTCACAGTGCCAGGGACCCGGGTTCAATTCCGTACTCGGGTGACTGTCTGTGTGGAGTTTGCACGTTCTCCCTGTGTCTGTGCGGGTTTCCTCTGGGTGCTCCAGTTTCTTCCCACAGTCCAAAGATGTGCAGGCTAGGTGGATTGGCCATGCTAAATTGCCCGTAGTGTTCAGGGATGTGTAGCTCAGGTTGGTTATAAGGGGATGGGTCTGGGTGGGATGCTCCAAGGGTCGGTGTGGACTCGTTGGGCCAAAGGGCCTGTTTCCACACTGTAGGGATTCTATGTGATGAAGTACAGAGGCTCCCCAATTTACGAACGTCTGACTTATGGAAGCTTGTACTTACGAATGCTATCCCATACAGGTGTGTAATTTTAAAGATCCAACACATAAACTTTTCCAGTACTCATGAAGGACTATTTTACGTCTTCCACTGATCTGACTTGCTTATGGAGCAACTTGCAAATGGATTACGGAATGGAAAAGATTTACAATCCAAGGACTGTCTGTATTCAAAATGGAATTAGATGGTTGTTTTGAAAGGGATAGTGTGCATGATTATAGGGAGGAGGCAGGACAATGACAAGAAATGAGTTGTTCACTCGGAGGAACATGATGATCCAAATGCTGGCTGCACAAAGCGAAAAGCTGGGTGTTGAAGTGAGGGATGGAGTTTCAGGAACTGGGAGAGGGAAGTATTGTTGTGCCTTGTTTCCCTTACCACCCTCACAGGTCCAGTGGGGACAGGAATAGACCAGATGTAACAGTTGAGAAAGTGAGTGGGACCAACAGGAGCAGCTGATTGGTGAGCAAGTCCTGGTGGGTATTTCCAAATTACTATTTTGTAAGTCTTTGTATAAGCAAGGGTAGGCACTTACTTTGTTTTTTTTTTCTTGAAAAAGTCCTCTAAAATTTTTAACCTTTAAAGAGTTTAGTTATGGCAGGAGAGCTTGAAGCCCTGGTTTGCTCCTCTTGCTCCATGTAGGAGACCGGCCACATTTCCAGTGCTTGGAGCCAGCATGAATGCAGGAAGTGTGTCCAGCTGCAGCTCCTGCAAGCTCAGGTTTCAGAGCTGGAACGGTGGCTGGGGACACTGGAGTACCTGGGGGTCTGACACCATCGTGGACAGCGCGTGTTGAGAGGTGGTCACTCTGCAGATCGTAATGGGGGATTCTATAGTCAGAGGCATGTAGTGATTTTTAGCATGGTCAGCCAGATGGACCCCATAGAACATGAGTTCCCTGATTGGACCAGATTAACAGCCCCAATCAGGGACCCCTGGCTGACAGACAAAAAGGAGCCCTCTGACACCCTGTTCACTCGGAGAGCTGGACCAGTATCACAGACTTTCCATGTCTAAATAAAGGGTGATTTGGTGACAACATACCGGTCTCGGCGGAGATATTTTGGTGGGGATGACAGTGCTCCTGAAGAAACTTGCTCGTGACAATTGTCTTTGAATTGGGATAAGCACTTCTGGCATCATGCAGTTATAGAACATAGAACAGTACAGCACAGTACAGGCCCTTTGGCCCACGATGTTGTGCCGACTTATTATCCTACTAAGATCAACCTACCCTGCATACCCTACATTTTACTATCCTCCATGTGCCTATCCAAGAGTCGCTTAAAAGTCTCTCAAGTATCTGACTCCACTACCACTGCCGGCAGCTCATTCCACACGCCCACCACTCTCTTTGTGAAGAACCTACCTCTGACATCTCCCCTATACCTTCCTCCAATCACCTTAAAACTATGCCCCTTCGTAATAGTCATTTCTGCCCTGGGAAAAAGTCTCTGGTTGTCCACTTTATCAATGTCTCTCATTCTTGTACACCTCTATCAAGTCACCTCTCATCCTTCTTCGCTCCAATGAGGAAAGCCCCAGCTCCCTCAACCTTTCCTCATAAGACCTGCCCTCCAGCCCAGGCAGCATCCTGGTAAATCTCCTCTGCACCCTCTCTAAAGCTTCCACATCCTCCCCTTAATGAGGTGACCAGAACTGAACACAATATTCCAAGTGTAAAAGGGAAGCTTGACTTGTTCTACCCTGCGGTTGAAGAATGGGCCCAATATATTGAAAGAATATAATTTCTTTTCAGGCATATGACATTAGGGCAGATGAAAAGCAATGAGTAATTCTCCTGACAGCTTGTGGGCCTACAGCTTTTTTGGTAATTGGGAGCCTATCTTTCCTGAGGCACCAGATATAAAATCTTTCAAGAGTTGACAAGACTTAGTTAAGGAATATTATGACCCCACGCCACCTCTAATTTGGAGCTGCTATCGTTTTTAACTCAGCAATTCGAGGGGAATCTGTATCGGGATTTAGTACAGAAAGGCAAAAATCTGTTGGCAAAGGCTTGGGGAGCCAAAGGCCTGTTCCTATGCTGTATTGTTCTTTTGGTTTCTTTTGTTCTTTAGGATTTTTGACTATGTTAAGGCAGGGGCATGTGACTTTGGTTTAACCCTTAATGAGGTGTTAAGAGACCATTTAGTATGTGGGATTAATGATGTAATCATATAAAAGCACTATGAGCTGAAGTCCAACTAGACCTCAAACAGGCACTACAACTGGCTTTATCATTAGAAAATGCAGCTATTGGAGTAGGAGTTGCAGGGTATTCCGATGGAAGTGGACACCCTTGCCAGTCCACCTGAGCTTGGGGAACACCACTTGACTGAAAGCAATTGTATAGCCTCACTCAGGACATATCCTGAACAGAAGGACTCTAGGTCAGCCCAAAGCAAAACTCCGAAACAAAGCCAAACCTCGGCAAATGGTTAAAATTTTTTTCAGAATCTGGACCGACAAGCCATTGTAGTTGCTGCTGGTATGTAGACTTGAGATAGCAAAAGGACCTTAATTGAGTAAGAGAACTGATCAGCTTGCATCCCCCGGTACAGGTTCTCAGTCTAGCTGAGGTGTTGTGTAAAATTAAGGATTGGGGTCCAGAGCGAGTTTTGTTAAAGACTGGCTCTGTGATCACTGAAACGGCCCCACCAGTATCAACCTCCATTATAACTGGGTGACCATTTACACAGACATTTTAGTTTGATTGGTTCTGGTTTGAATGTTGTTAAGCAATTTAATTCTTTCAAATGAGACATAGATGGACAAGGCCCACCCAGTGCCATTTGCCTTACGAACATAAGAGGCAGAAATCAGAAGGCTGGAAAGCAAAGGAATGATCAAACCAGTCCAGTTTGTGGAATGGGCAGCACTGGTTGTAGAGTTTGTGAAGCCAGACAGGTCGGTTCTTTGTGGGGATTTTAAACCATGTCTACATGTGATGCAAACTTCAAAGAATTACGTACCTGAACCCTTATGTCTCTCTGTTTTACAAAGATAAGCCAGAGAACTACAGACTAGTGAGTCTCACGTCAGAGGTAGGGAAACTTAAAACTTGCACCACATGTAGACAGGGTGGTTAAGAAGGCTTTTAGCTTGCTTGCCTTAATTGTTCAGACCTTTGATTAAAAAAGAAAGAGTTGGGATGTCATGTTGAGGTTGCACAGGACATTGGTGACGCCCCTTCTGGACGACTCTGTCCGGTTCAGAGATAACACAGCGTGGAGCTGGATGAACACAGCAGGCCAAGCAGCAGAGAAGCAAGAAAGTTGACGTTTCGGGTCAGGACCGTTCTTCAGAAATGGGGAGGGAGAAGGGAGCTCCGAAATAAAGAGAGAAAGGAGGAGTGGGGCTGGGGAAGATAGGTGGGATGGTGATAGGTGAGCACAGGTAGGGAGTGGTGGGGATCCGATCCTCATCCCTAAAATGAATAAAAAATAAAACGCAATTCTGTTTACCAGCACCGGCAGTTCTACTATCTCTGTACAGTTCTGGTCACCCACTCATAGAAAGGATATTATTAAGCTGGAAAAAGTCCTGAAGGAGAGCATCCATTTCCACTTGGATAGGCATGCTTGAACGGATAGTCAGCATGGCTTTGTCAGAAGGAGGTCATGCCTAACAAATTTGATTGAATTTTTTAAGGAGGTGACCAGGCATGTAAATAAGGGAGTGCAGTTGAAATAGTTTATATGGATTTCAGCAAAGCTTTTGACAAGATCCCATAAAGGAGACTTATCAAGAAGACAAATGCACATAGGATACAGGTAATTTGATAAAAGTGGAATCAAAATTAGCTCAATTGTAGAAGACAGAGGGTGGTGTCAGGATGCTGCTTTAGTGACTGGAAGTCCGTGTCCAGTGGGGTACGGAGACATCTGGGCTGGGTCCCCTACTCGTCATCATTTATATAAATGACATAGAATGACTATGTCGGGGGGCTGATTACTAAGTTTGCGGATGACACAAAGATTGGTTGGGTGGTTAACAGTGAGGTTGAGTGAGTTGGGCTACAGGAAGATATAAACGGGATGGTTAAATGGGCAGATAAGTGGCAGATGGAATTTAACCCCGAAAAGTGAGAAGTGATACACTTTGGAAGGAGTAATTTGACAAAGTATTCAATGAACAGCATGACACAAGGAAGTTCTGTGGAACAAAGTCACCTTGGTGTGTTGGTCCATAGATCTCTAAAGGCAAACGGGCATATTAGCAGGGTGGTAATAAAAGGCATAGGGGTCACTTGCCCTTATAATCAAGACAAAAACATTACAAAAGTGGGGAAGTCATATTGCTGGGTGGGATGGAAATTTTAAGTTATGAGGAAAGATTGGATAGGCTTGGCGCAATCTGTTTGAGGTGTACAAGACTGAGGGAGAGTAGATAAGGATCAGCCGTTCCTTTAGTTGAACGGTCAGTCATGAGAGGTATGAGTTCAAGGTGAGGTTCAGGAGCTTTGGGGGGCAGTTAATGGGAGGAAAGACTTTTTTTAACCCAGAGAGTGTTGATGGTCTGGAATGCACTGCCTGGGAGGGTAATAGGAGGCGAGTTGCCTCACATCCTTTTAAAAAGTACCTGGATGAGCATTTGGCCCATAGCCTTGAGGTTACAACATGTCAAGTGCTGGTAAATGGAATTGGGTTTTATTTTTCATTCATTTGAGGGATGAGGGCGGCGCTTTTGGGCAGCACTTATTGCCCATTCCTAATTGCCCAGAAGGCAGTTGAGAGTTAGCCACATTGCTGTGGGTCTGGACTCACACATAGGCCAGGCCACATAAAGATGGCATTTTCCTTCTCTAAAGGACATTAGCGAACCAGATGGGTTTTTCCTGACAATTGGCAACAGATTCATGGTTATCACTAAATTCTTAATTTCCAGATGTTTCTTGAATTCAAATTCCACCATCTGCCATGGCAGGATTTGAACCCAGAACATTATCTTGGTCTCTGGATTAACAGTCCAGTGATAATACCACTAGGCCATTGCAGGTCAGGTGCTTTTCACATTTGCAGATCTGATGGGCCAAAGGGCTTCTTCTGCATTGTATGATTCTATGAGGACCTCTTTCTGCTTTGTAACAATTCTGTGATTCTGTCTGAGCTCCGTTGCAATAGTACTTCCGCCACTTACTTAATTTCCAGGTCTTCCATTGCAAATGCCTTCACTGTCCGTATATTTCCCAGTGCCTCCTCTGCAAGACATGTCGCCTTGGCAATCTGGAAATAATTTGTTAAAACAGACTTTTCAATAACATTCAGTAAAGTCAGAAACCCAGTCCAACCAGAGTCCTGCACTTTGAAACACGAAGAAGAAATTATTAAGCTCTGTCTGTGCCAGCACAACAGTGTTCAATTAACACAAAGCTGTATCAATCTGGATCCAAGCTAGTTGCCAAGACAGAAAACCCACAGTTTATCCATGAATCAGTCTTCCAGTTCCTTCCACCCCTCTTGTTACAGGTGCTCCCCATGTAGACATGCTCAGTTAATTAATAGCCACCATTCATTTCTCCTTAAAGTTAATCAAATATATAAACAATATGATTAATTAGACATTACCAAACTGCTCCTTAACCAGACTGACAGACCTAAAGGTTCATATGGGAAATGGCAAAATTCAACTCTGCCGCAATAGGAATACATTTTCTAAGAACGTGAACATTACCAACAGCGTGAAGCAAACTTACTCTGTATTTAAATGGCTTTGAAATTTTATTTACTTTCAAATTCAAGACCATAGAAGTGTAGGCCTTCAGTTGGCTATCACTAAATTGTGCAATTTTATTTTGCATTTCTTTCCTGCTAAACTTCTGATTTTCAAAATAATTTGTATTGAACACTAAGTCTAAAAAAGTTTTAAAAAGTAAGTGTGACTGTACTTTGATTGAACCAAACTAATGAATTATGTAGTTAATGGCAACATTATCAACTACAAACTTGGGCCTTTTACCCCAGGACCTTTCTTGTACATCAAGTGACGCTGTTTTGACTAAATTATTGGTTTTATTCTTTCCCTAGATCAGCAGATCATTAGAAAACAATGGATGGCGACTTTATTTTTCTAAGTGGAAATGGTCTTATTGAATCCATCTCTATGACCTTTGAACTACAAACTAAGACCATGAAGTAGTTTCATACGTGTGATGGTTGGTGATATGATGATGTATGATGGATCTACAATATGACCATATAACATCATGACACCACCCAAGATGTGTAAACAGCCTGAGCCCCCTTAAGTCTGCAGCTGTGGAGAGGGAAGCAGTTAACATTTGGAGTCCAATGTTTTTCTCTCTAGAGATCGTTTCAGACCTGCTGAGGTTCTCAGGCACTTTGCTTTTATTTTAAATCTCCATCATTTGCAGTATATTGCTTTCACGTAAAGACCAGGTCTTTTTATTTCCATTATTTTTAGATGAAGGACTTCGATGATTCTTTAAACTAAAGGACAGTGTGAAGAGATGGCTGCAGCTTTAAGTGTTTACTGGAATACTGAGCTGTGTAAAGCGAGACCTAAAAGCAAACCTCACAGAGCGGATGTGTTGTGATCCATGGGACAACTGCTAGACAACAATCAGGAGATAGTACTAACTGCAGATGCTGGAGTCAGAGATAACACAGTATGGAGCTGGAGGAACACAGCAGGCCAGGCAGCATCAGAGGAGCAGGAAAGCTGATGTTTCGGGTCGGGACCCTTCTTCAGAAATGATTTCTGAAGAAGGGTCCTGACTCAAAGTCAACTTTCTTGCTCCTCTGGTGCTGCCTGGCCTGCGGTGTTCCTCCAGCTCCACACTGTGTTACCTATGCTAGATAACAATGCTTTGATTGGTTCCTGACCCGGTGACTATGGCTTTTGTGGAACAGAGTAGCAAAAATATACCTCATTTGCAAAGAGAAAGCATCAAAATAAATCACCCTGTGTCTGTCTCTACCAGCAAAAGCCAGCTGCCTTCCACTTATTTTTCTCTAAAAATCCCCTGCTAGAGGAATAAAATGCCTTTAAAGACAGTTAAAAGCCTAATTCTCAACCATGAATGAAGAGAGCATCAGTGAACAAAAAAATCTTGCATCAAAAGCAAAGAACTTTAAAGGAGCTTAAAGGAAGAGAAAGAAAGCAATTCAAATCGTATGCTCCAGACTAGGGAAATCAAACTGTTCCTGATCTTTCTTTTTACGTCCTTAAGATCCACCTCTGTCTGTCTGTCTGTCTGTTCACGAGGGGTGATTTAAGAGGGATAGAGTTTAAGTAATAGAGCTTTATAAGTCAGCAATTCTTATTTCCTGATCGCCATTGGTTAAAGACAATTTGTTTGTAATAGTTATTTTCTTGTTAAGTACAGAAACTTGGTGTTTTCTTTCAACTGGAGTTTGTTAAATCAGGTAAATTGTGAACTTGAGGTAGTTTGAGTAAATCTTTTCACACTTGTAACAACTCTGGGCATAGTGGGGCTTGATTTCCAGTGCATGACCCCCAGTGAGGTGTGACACAAGACAGATTCTGCAAAGGGACTCTCACTCCACAGATTTCTCACAAGCAGCCAAGAGCTGAAAGAAAACAGGGATGAGTATCTCCGGGCTCTTAAACAGAGTGGGTTATCCAGATCTTGACAATCCAGTATCTATGACAGAACACGGGATAATGTATACATATGGCAGCTGTCCACACAGCAGCTTTGTAAGAAATGTGAAACGTGGATTGGAGGTCAAGAATGGTTAGTCAGGATTCAGTTGGAAGCACCACTGTACTCAGAAAGCTGCTGAAATGGCAAGAACAAGGAACAGACTTGTGTCTCTGAATTTTATAGAACTGTCCTGTTCTTTGTGTGTCTGCATGCTAGTGCCCAATAGAGATTTGGTAACATTCTGTGCTTTGGTCCTGTATGTTTGTGTTAATGTTGTGTAGTTAATGTGCATATCTCTGTATAAAGTTGTAGCAAAACTGGTCCAAGAATAAGTCATGATAAAACGTCCGCTTCAGCTGTTAGAAAGCAATTGCTTTGTTTGGCATTAATGGTATTTCTAGGAGGATTCTTCTGGAAGGAGATAACAAGGTCTGACACTGAGGGGCATTAAAAATAGTGAAGTCTGTCAATTTTCTTGTGGCTGTATGAGGTTGCTATTGAAAGTTTTAAAACATTTATCCAAAGCAAAAATATTGTTAAATTCAATGAGTGTTGTGAAGATTAGAAGTGTGAGGTAGTTTTTAATAATAATGAATGGATAAGAGTTTTAGTACACTTTTAGGTGCATGGAAATAAGAAGTTGTGGGTGTAATTGAGTGTGCCTGTCTCAGGTTAATACGATAAAGTTAAGCAATGGCTCTATTGCATGGGGTTACTTCCCCTTCTTGGGAACTAAACTTGTTGCATTTTATAAGTTTGGAAAAAAAATGAAGGCAAACAGGAAGGGTAATTACTTTGGCAAATTGAGGTACAAGCTCTGGAAACAAGATTACTGGCCAGAATCATGATTCCAGCATATTCCAATTTCACTGATTAGGAAATTCATACACAGTTTCAGCTTAATTGAAAGTAAAAAAAAAAAAAGCACATGCTGGAGAAACTCAGCAGCTCCAGTAGCATCTGTGCAGTGAGGCCCAATATGAATGTTCATCGGAACGGATTTGCCCCCAGAAAGTCCCCCTGCACGTGCTGAAAATCTGCCAGGGGGTGACCAAATGGTGAGGAGACACTCCTCCAATCACAAGCTGATTCTCCCTCAGGGCTCGCAGCCAAAAAGTTCACCAGGGAGCCCATATGCCGGAAACCAGGGACAGAAACATCCTGTGGGTTGGAAGACCAATCAGCAGCGAGGAGACTCAGGGAGGGAGTGCCTTTTGCCGAGGTCCAGAAGCTGAAGTCTTGGTATTGAGAGCTGGGAATGACTGCAAGCAGGAGTTTAACTTCTGACTTCTGACTTTTTCATATTCATTCACAGGATGAGGGTATTGCTGACTATGTCAGCATTTATTGCCCATCCCATACGGTAGTTAAGAGTCAATCACATTGCTGTGGCCAGACCAGGTAAGGATGGCAGTTTTCTTCCCCAAGGGACATTAGTGAACCAGATGGACTTTTCCAACAATGGATTCATGGTTATCATTTCACTGTTAATTCCAGACTTTTTACTGAATTCAAATTCCACCATCTGCCATAGTGGGTTTCGAACCCGGGTTTCCAGAACATTACCTGGGTCTTTAGATTAACAGTTCGGAAATACTACCACTAGGCCATCACCTTCCCTTATGAAGGAAGGTCAGTGATGAAGTAGCTGAAGATTTTTGGGCCCAGAATACCACCCTGAGGTACTAAGGGTTCTTGTAGAGCAGTGGTAGTGGACCAGGAGACTTGGATTCAAGCCCAACCTGCGCCAGAAGCATGTAATAACATCTCTGAACAGGGTCATTAGAAACAAATATATCCTGAGGAACTCCTGCAGAGATGTCCTGGACCTGAGATTACCAACCTCCAACAACCACAACCATCTTCCTTTGTGCTAGAAATAACTCCAGTTTTATTTGGGCTCCTTGATGCCACACTCAATCAAATGCAGGCTGATGCCAAGGGCTGTCACTCTCTCCTCACCTCGTGAATTCAGCTCCGTTGTCCATGTTTGAACCAAGGCTGTGATGAGATCAGAAGCTGAACGGCCCTGGCAGAACCCAAACTAAGCATGAATGAGCAAGATATTCATTTGCAAGGATTGCTTGATAGCACTGTCAACAACCCCCTTCATCATGATCACCAGTAGACTGATGGGGCATTAACTGAGCGGGTTGGATTTGTCCTTTTTTTCCCTTCAAGACAGGACAATACCTGGCAATTTTTCACATTGGTAGGATAGATGCCAGTGTTGTAACTGTACTGAAACAGCTTGTCAGGCCGCATCATTTGCAGTAGCCAGTGCCTTCAGCCATTTCTGATTTCATGTGGAGTGAATCAAATTGTCTGAAGACAGGCATCGTGATGCTGGGGGCCTCTGGAAGAGACTGAGATTATTCACCACTTCTGCCTGAAGATTGTTGTGAATGCAAAAGGTAAGGCTGAAGTATTCATGTACTGGGCTCCTCCATCATTGAGGATGCAGATATTTGTCGAACCTCCTCCTCCAGTGGGCTGTTTAATTGTCCACCACCATACACAATCGGATGTGGCAGAAGTGTAGAGCTTAGATCTGATTTGATGGTTGTAGGATCACTGAACTCTATCTATACTTGCTGCTTTTGTTGTTTGGCATGCATGCAGTCCTGTTTGGTAGCTTCACCAGGTTGACACCTCATTTTTAGATATGCCCTGGTGCTGCTCCTCACATGCCCTCCTGCACTCTCCATTGAACCAGGTTAATTCCCTAACTTGTTGGCAGAGTGAGGGATATTCTGGTTATAGATTGTGCTGGAGTAAAATTATGCTATTGCCAATCACCCACAGTGCCTCACGGATACCCAGCCTCGACTTGCTAGATTTCTTCGAAGTCTGTCCTATTTAGCACGGTGATAGTGCCACACAATATGGAGGCTATCCTCCTGGAGAGAATTAATCTCAGCAAAGACAAGCACTACAACCCTTAATGGACTCACCACCATTTTCTTCAGGGAAAACTGAGTAATAAACATTGGCCTAGCCATCAAGGTTTATATGCCGTGAAGGAATAGAAAAAGTATTCAATGGTCTCTCCTATACTTAATTGTATCCAGACATCGATTCACAGTGAGTTACATCCTCCCATCTTTTCATTCAAATGACTGATTCCCTAGGCCCTTAGCTGCATCTTTGAATTTGATTAATCCACATGTAGTCCCCTTCATTTTGTATTTGTTCAAAGCTTTGCAAATAATCACACAAACATTCACTGCCTCTCTCCATTATACCTGTTCCTGTGTCTTTTGGGAAAATTTCCGAAGGTACGAGCCTATATACGCTCCAGTTCCAACGAGGAGTGGCATCACTAGACACATCAGGCTTGTTAGCTTTGGTGACACGACGTAGAGAGAAACCAAGCAGCCAATTGTCTGAGTGAGACTTTTCAAACCCTGGAGTCCAAATCGGAAAAAAGCCAGGCAGTTAAAGCATGAAGAAAGAATGAAACAAAGCATTTTGAACACTTTCCCCATCAAACACCGTCAGGACAGTGTCTAGATACAGAGTGAAGTTCTCTCAACACTATCCCCATAAAACACTCCCAAGATTGTACAGCATTAGATTTAGGTATAGAATAAACTGCCTCAGTACTGGCTTTCCAACAGTGCAGCACCCCCTCAACAGTGACCCTCTGACAGTGAGGCGCTCCCTGAATAGTGACACTCAAACAGTCTGGCAGTTCCTCAGTACTGACCCTGTGACAATACTGAGGAAGTGAGGAAATAGGGGTGAAAAAACAACATTATTTGCTATTTACTGGCAACTTTAAAAGGAGATTTCTGCAGCCTCACCTGAGATATCACCAGTTTGAAGGAGGATTTAAACTCCTGAATGTCATTAGTTAAGCGGCTCACCATCTGGCCTGTTCGAGTGGCATCAAAGAATGCCATGTCCTGCCTGTGATTACAACAGGAAAAGAAAAAGGCTTGAACTGAAGCAATTCTCCCAATAGATTAATTCACAGATCCACAGACACTCACAGAATGAAGCTCAGCATTGACCTTGTAGCTGGGTGACATGGTACCACTACCACATGGGCAGGGGTAAGCCACTCTCAAGGAGGAGTATTCCATTACCCACTCAAAAGGTCCAGGTATACTCCACTTCCAGTTGGGCAGGGCAAATCAATCACCAAGGGGCAGGATACACTGTTCCCCACCCTGAAGGCAGGGGTATTTCCCATCCCAGGTGATGGGAACTCAACATCCTGAGGGAGTAGGACTCCATTTGCCACCTTGTAGGCACGAGAATTTCCCATTCTGGGAAGACCGGAGGTGGGGGGGTGGGGGGTGTTGTGGAGTGGAGTGGAGGATTCCACTTCTGTCTCCTCCTCCAGTGCAAGTAGCATTGGCCTCAGCCTTACCTGACTGCCTGTCAACTAAGTTTCTACTCATGCATCTACACTTCCTCTGAGAACATGTAGCACTTGACCTACTTCTCCAGGGCAATTGAGGATGTGCAACAAATGCTGGCCTCGCCTTTGATGTCCCCATCCATCAAAGAAGAATTAAATGAGCTTGAGTTTTAAAAACTCTCACCAGCATATGAAAATGTTCATGCAGGAACAGAAGGTAAAAGCAGCTTCCATTCAGCCCCTCAGGTCTGATCTGCCATTCAATCATGGCTGATGTGTAGTTCAATTCCATTTACCCAAATTTGTTCTGTATTCTTGATACCATCACCCAACAACAATTCATCAAGCTTAGCATTTCTCACAAGTTCTCAACTTTTGCATTTGCCGTCAATTCATTCCTCTATCCAATCAATTAATTAAAAAAGTTCCATTAAATCTGCCGAACATAACTTGGCTTTCTGAAATCCACTGTAACTGTCTTAGATTGTCTCTCATGCTCCCTCCATAACTGAACAGTACATATTAGTTGATAGGATTCTTTACTGGGTTTAGTCAATAAAATGCTCTTAGACATTGAAAAATGGCAACAGAAAAAAGCCCTTCAGCCCTTTCAGTATGGTCCACCATGCAATACATAAGAACATCAAATTTAGGAGCAGGAATAGGTCATTTAAAGTTTTGGCAAAGATCTGTAGCTCGGGTCGTGGGTGAGGTTGTTGACTTGCTCGCCGAGCTGGCTTGTTCTCGTTCAGATGTTTCGTCACCATGCTAGGTGGCATCATCAGTGCAGCCTCCGATGAAGCTATGTTATTCTACTCCGTTTGGAATTTATACTGTCCGGTCTGTTATGATGAGTTGTGTCATTTCCGGTTTTGATCTGTATTGGTTTATATATGGGGTTCAATTCTATATGTTTGTTGATTGCATTATGGGTAGAGAACCATGCCTCTAGGAATTCCCATCCGTGTCTATTTTTGGCTTGGGCTACTATGGTTACCTTGTCCCAGTTAAACTGATGGCCTTCGTTGTCTGAATGTACCGATAATAAGGAGAGTTCATCGTGCCGTTTTGCTACTAGCTGATGTTCATGTATTCTAATGGCTAGTTTCCCTCCTGTCTGTCCGACATAATGTTTGTGGCAGTCGTTGCATGTTATTTTGTAAACCACGTTGGTTCTGCATGTTGTGGGAATGAGGTCTTTAATCCTTGTAAGTGTTTGTTGGAGAGTGGCTGTGGGCTTGTGGGCCACCACGATGAACTCTCCTTAATATCAGTACACTCGACAATGAAGGCCATCAGTTTAACTGGGACAAGGTAACCATAGTAGCCCAAGCCAAACATAGACACGCTCAGGAATTCCTAGAGGCATGGTTCGCCACCTGTAATGCTATTGACAAACATATAGAATTGGACCCCATGTACAAACCCATACAGGTCAAAACCGGAAATGACACTACTCACTATAAGGGACCAGACAGTATAAATTCCAAGTGGAGTAGAATAACATCACCTCATTGGAGGCTTCACTGATGATGTCACCTAGCATGGTGACGAAACATCTGAACAAGAATAAGCCAGCTCGGCGAGCAAGCCAACGACCTCAGAAATAGGTCATTCAGCCCTTTGAATCTGTTCTGGCTTTCAGTCAAGGTCACGGACCTTCCTGTGCATTCCCGCATGCTTTAACTTGCTGAGAGATCTAAAGTCTGTCGACCCTAGCCTTAAAAATATTCAATGGTATCCTCCACAACACTCTGGAGTAGAGAATTTCAAAGACTCAAAAAAAAACACCAAGGCTTCCAAAGATTCAAACATTTCTCCTTATCTCAGTCCTAAACGCTCAGCCTCTTATCACGTGACTGTCCCATGTTCCACATTTCCCAGGCAAAGGAGAAAAACTCTGTTTCACCTATCAAGCCTCTTTGGAAGCTTAAATAAAAACCGAAAGAAATGTGGATGCTGTAAATCTGAAATCTTTGGAATCTTGTCCGTCTCAACAAGGTTACCTTTCTGTCCTTCAAACTCCAGAGAACATCAACCCAATTCACTTAGTCTCTCATTGGTCCCAGCGATTAGAAGCTTGTCCTATCTAGCGAACCCTCATTAAATTGCCAACAGTGTACACATCCCCTTCCGTAAAAATGAATACAATAACTGCACACAATATTACAGATGTGGTATCACCAATGCTGCATACGACTGTACAAAACTCTCCTTATCCTTATGCTGGAATCTCCTTGTAAAAGGAGATCACCATCAATAAACCACTCATCTAGATTAAAAAAACAATTATCACTGTGAAAAGCACTGGAACTTCTTGTCTCAGATGTTGGGAAGACTGAAAATTAACAAAAGTACTCACGGATTAAATCTTTCCATAATCCCTGCTATTTATTTCATTCTGTGAAACTCTGTTACATTTCTATGGCCCACATCTCTGATTTTAAATCTTGGTCCACAGGGAGACCAGGCAACAGCAGACATGGCCACTGGCAGTTGGCCACCTAAGTGGATTTGTAGAGAGCATGTTACAATTTTATCTTAATGTCAAACAACTCAGCGATCTCTTCAGTGCCTCAACAAGAGTCAGACCTGAGCAGAGTTGAAAACAATTCCTTCCTCAAGCTGGCAGCAACTCGCTCCCCAATTCTGGACAGGAGAGTGATGTAACAGCAAGTCAGGATTCCCTGATAAGCAGAAGACAGTAGTGGCATTAAACCAGATTCAGAGCAAAACTCGCAAACATATTAAAAATACAAAAATACAAATTTATAAACACATTGTGTATAAGATTTAAAAGTACAATTTTGAAGGCAAAATTTTGACAAAGTGGAATAGCCTGCATTTTGAATATGATGTGTCAGTGGCACACAATCTCAGATTCAAAGTGATAGTAAGAACTGCCGATGCTGGAGTCCGAGATAACACAGTGTGGAGCTGAAGGAACACAGCAGGCCAGGCAGCATCAGAGGAGCAGGAAAGTTGACGTTCCGGGTCAGGATCCTTCCTCAGAAATGGGGAGGGGAATGGAGCACAGAAATAAATAGAGAGAGGAAGGGTGGTGGCCCCAGCCCTCCTCTATTTCTGAGCTCCCTTCCCCCTCCCCACTTCTGAACAAGGGTCCCAACCCGAAACGTCAGCTTTCCTGCACCTCTGATACTGCCTGGCCTGCCATGTTCCTCCAGTTCCACACTGTTATCTTAGATTCAACGTAATACCCCATCTACTCTTATCAACAGAAAGTAAAGCTTCCTATATCTGTTTAAACTGACAATAAAGCTCCCTCAGCACTGTCCCTTCAAACACTTCCACAACGGGTACAGCATAGAATTAGGTACAAAGTAAAGCTTCCTTTACTCTGTACCTAACTCTTTTTGAACTGAAAATAACTCTTCTTCAACATTGTCTGCATCAAACATCCTTAGGACAGGGACAGCAAAGGGTTAGATATAAAGCAAAGCTCCCTCTACTCTGAAAATGTAAACTGAAAGTAAAGTTTCCACAACATTGTCCCCATCAAACAGGGTAGGAACAGTACTTTTAGATATAGAGTAAAGCTACTTCCAATGATGTACCACTGTGACCAGAGCTGGTTCCCTTATTGTTCGTCATATATTTAATCTATGTGGAGGAGAACCTGCGGATTTGATAAGTACGTTTGAGGATGTAATGACAATTGGCAGGGTAGTAAATAGTGAGGAAAAAGGTCTTAGGTTGCCGAAAGGTGCAAATGGGTGGAACACGTGGGCAGAACACACGGACAAATCAGTAGCAGATGGAATTTAACCCTGATAAATGTGAGATGATGGGGGTTGGACAGGGCAGAAAAGGAGGGATCCTATCGTTGTAACCCACGTAGGTTCCCATGACATTAGTAGAAAGAGGGAAGAGGTTATGCTGAGGAAATATGAGCAGCTAGGAGCTAAATTTAGAAAAAACGAACCAAAAAGGTAATAATAATTTCTGGATTATACGTGAGGCACAAGCAAGTTGGCACAGGGTCAACAAAATTAAAGAGGTATATGCAAGACTCATACACTGGCGTGAGAGAAACAAGTTTGAATTCATGGGACATTGGTGCCAGTACTGGGGAAGGAGAAAGCTGTTCCAATGGGATGGCCTCCACCTGAAACATGCTGGGACCAAGTCCTGGTGAATTGCATAACTAGGGCTGTGAGTAGGGCTTTATATGGAGGCCAGTTCCATAGAAAATTATGGAAAAAGTTAAATGGGTGGTGAGGAGTTGGCGGGGGTGGGGTGTGCAGAGCACAGGTTACTAAAAGTTTCCAGAACAAGTAATAGGACAGAAAGGAAGGAAAGGGTCAAGAATCTAACTTCAGATAAGGGGACAACTTTCAAACACAGGAAGGACGGTGTTGTACTTAAATGCACACAGTATATAAAACAAGATAAATTAGCTTGTGGCGCAGATTGAAATTGGCAGGAACGATGTAGCGGGCATCAACGCTGGGAACTAAATATCCAAGGATACATGTCCTATGAAAGGACAGGCAGATAGGCAAGGAGACAGGATTGCCTTGTTAGTAAGAAATGAAATTAAGTCAATCACAAGAAGTGATTTACAGTCAGCAGGCAGAGAATTTTGTGGGTAGAGTTGAGGAACTGCAAAAAAGAAAAAAAAAACAAAAAACAAAAAAAAAAAAAAAAGTCTGATGGCAGTTGTGTACGGGCCAAGTGGCAGTAGTCAGGATGTGGGGAAAGAAAATAAATTGGATAGAAAAGGCATGTAAGAAAGGCACTATTACAATAATTATAGGGGGCTTCAATTTGCAGGTTGACTTGGGAGAAAAAAAAAAATCACACTAGTAGCGGATCTCAAGAAAAGAAATTCATTCAATGTCTACAAAATGGTTTTCTTGGAGCAGCTTGTGGTAGAGCCCACCAGGGAACAGGCAGTTCTGGATTTGGTGAAGTCTATTGAGACAGACTTGATTAGGGAGTTTAAGGGGAAGGAACCCAAGGGAGCAATGACCATAATGTGATAGAATTTACCCTGCAGATGGAGAGGGAGAAGCTGGCCAGATTTCATTGGAAGGGGAGCTTAGCAGGGAAGACAGTAGAGCAGCAATGGCAGGAGTTTCTGGGGATAAATCAGGAGGCAGAGCAGAAATTCATCCCAAGGAATAAGAAAGGGGAGGACAAGACAACCATGGCTGACAAGGGAAGTCAGGGACAACATAAAAGCAAAACATAAAGCATACAATGGTGGTGGAGATTAGTGACAAGCCAGAGGATGGGAAAGCCTTTAAAAACCAGCAGAGGATAATTAAAAAAGCAATAAAGGGAGAAGATAAAATATGAGAGTAAGCTAGCTAGTAATATAAAAAGAAGATTGCAAGAGTTTTATTAGATATCTAAAAAGGCAGAGGAACTGAAATGGTACTTTGCACCAGTTTTCACAGTAGAATACACTGGCAACATATCAGAACTTCAAGAGAGTCGGGCAGAGGTGAGTGCAGTGGCTATCACTAACAGGAGCTGGGGAAGCTGAAAAGGTCTGAAGATGGATAAATCACCCCGATCGGATTGATTAGGCCCAGATTTCTAACGGGGACAGCTGAGGAAATTGTGGTGGCATCGGTGGTAACCTTTCAGGCATTACTGGAGTCAGGGAGAGTCCCAGAGGACTGGATAATGACTAATGTAACAAGCCTGTTTAAGGGAGGGAGGCAGAAGACAGGAAACTATAGGCTGGTTAGCCTGGCCTCAGTCATTGGTAAGACTTTAGAGTCCATTATTAAGGATGAGACTGCGGAGTACTTGAAAGTAGATGGTAAAATAGAACTGAGTCACAACAGCTTCATCAAGGGACAATTGTCATGCTGGACAAATTTGGAGGGGCTGCAGAGAAGATTCTCCAGGATGATGTTTTGGATGGTTTATTTTAGAGGAGCTTGATATGCTTGGGTTGTTTTCTTTTCAGCAGAGAAGGCTGAGGAGGACTCAATGGAGATGTATAAGATTATGAGGGGCATGGGAGGGGTGGATAGAAAGCAGTTGTTGCCTTTAGTTGAAGAGTCAATAATTAGAAGGCAAATTTTAAGGTGAAGGCAGGAGGTTTAGAGGGGATTCAAGGAAAACATTTTTCAACCAGTAGGTGGTAGGAATCTGGAATGCACAGTCTGGGTTGGAATAGAGTAGGATATCTCACAAACTTTAGCACTTGAAAAGTCATAACATTCAAGGCTATGGACCCAGACCTGGAAAGTGGGTCAGAG